TCTCTCTCTCCCTCTCTCTCTCTGAATCATTGGGTATTAAAAACAATCTGTTTTTTTGTGATGCCTGTGAATTAGGAGAATGAAGAGCTGGAATACCCAAATTACCGAGGCTCAAAAAGTTAGCAATTGAAGTTAAGGGAGTTGGTTGCTGGAGCATCCGTTGCTTTGCCCCATTGATTTATGCTGCACCCATGCTTTGTGAAGCTGTGTTCAAGGTTAGTTAGTTATCCAAGTAATAATCTTTAGATGTTGAGTGTTTTGTGTTTTATGAAAAATCAAGGATTAAATTGTGTACCATTTTTTTTTCTCATTAAATACATTTGATATATGTGAGTCCTGATGTAGCGTAAGACTGTTTGGGTTGAGGGATTTCGAAATCCCAAGTTATTATAATGAATGCATTTGGAATTTTCTGCATTTCAAACGCATTCTTTTAATACTACCTCCTATTCTTTTTAAATGTCATTTTGGCATAATCAACTATTAACAAAATAAATGTCGTTTTAGATATTTTGTACATATTTTTCCGTTATTACCCTCATCTAGCTTATAAATACACTACGTCTTTTCATATTCACTCTTCATTTTTTCTCTAAACATTCATCTCTATCATCATTAATGAGGGTTATTATTGGCAAAAAAAATATGTCCTTAATAACTGTGCAACTTCCCAAAACGACACTTATTATGAATAGGAGGGAGTATATGTTACTGGGTTTTGGTGTCGATTTGCGGGTATAAGTCCATGAGTTGTTACTTTCATGACTGATTAATCACGTTGGTATAATTGCGTTTTATTGGTGACTATGTGAGGCTGCTTGTGTGCTTTTTTCCATGAGATATTTTGTGTGTGTATGTGGGTCGTGGGAGAGGAGGGTGCCATATTGTCCATGAAATTTGATATAGATGCATAATGTTTTTCAGCGAATGAGTGCCTTTATTTTTTTATTTATTTCTTATGAAACAGCTTAAACCCACTATTCTGAAACCAAGATCAATACGACGACCAAACATAGGAGAAAGACGACACGACTGTCTCAAAGTGTTTGAAATAATAGGTTTTGAAGGCACGGCCGTCGACATAGAATTGTCCCTATATGTGCTTGAGAGTGCCGTTTCGCTAGAAAAAGGTGGTTATTAATGGCCGCACTAATACTGGAGATCGAATTGGCAAGCTAAGGGAAAACTTTTCCAAGGCTAGGGTGTTTATGTGTTGATATGTAGCTGATGTGTTTATAAACTTTGATGTATTAATTTAATTTGTTGCATATTATTTGCTTTTCTTGGTCTCCAACTGTTGATGGTGGTGTTGATAGTGTTCTTATAGTGCATAAACTCATTAGTCACTCTAAAGTTATCTCAAGATAGAATATTTAATAATTTAACCTAGCAATTTAACCAAATAACTAATGGGCATTACTATTTGCCGCCCCCCTTATTACTAGTCACCGCCCCCCTTAGACGATTTTGCCCTTTTCATTTTTTGTGTCCGCAAGATGTCGACCAGCTCGGAGGTAAAAAAAAACTGTCCGGCCACCAAAACCGCACGGCACCGGTGGTGTCCGGCCGACCGGACCGGACGGCTTAACACGCGTCCGGCCGGTTCGAACGGACACACCCCCGGCCGTGCGGTTTTGGTGGCCGTACGTACCGGTGGTAGTACTAACGGACCGGTCGTACGGCCCACTTGGTGTCCGACCGCGATGGTCGGTTGTAACCCGGTCCGACCGGTCCGACCGGCCGGACAACAATTTTTTAATTTTTTTTTATTATTAATTTTAAATGCTTTAAAATTATTAAATACATTGCATGTGTCTTTAGAAGATTTTGGAGGAGATGGTGTTGATTACCGTTCCGCTTTCAATACAACTACGCTGTTTGTTAGTGATGTAGAGGCTATTAAGGATGCAAAAAGTACGGCAATTATGAATGGTTTCTTTTTTACTATTTCGAAATACAAAAAACCCGGAAGGCTGAAGATCTTGAAGTGCGATCGAGGCGAACGTTATAGAGGCAAAAACGTAGATATGAATAAAGTTGTTTTGAGACATTCAAAAACGAAAGCGTGCCAGTGCCCTTTTGAGATACAAGTAAAGCGTGTTGCCAGATCGACATACTGGATGATCCACACGAGTCAAGACGAAACGAAGGGATACCATAATCATTCATTTGCTGTGTATCCTGAGGGCCATCGACAGTCGAGCGGCATAAGCGTGTCATCCAAAAAAATTATTCGTGAAATGACTGCTGCGCATGTGACACCAGCAAATATTTTGGCCGCCGTCCAGGAAAAAAATCCACACGACCATGCTAATCGGCAACATATATATAACTATAGAGACTGGTTGCGTAAGGAAAGTTTTGAGGGTAGGGACGTTCCTACCCAACTTCTACATTTGGCAAGCAGCAGCAACTATATAGTTTATACAAATGTCGATCCGAATACAAATGCGCTGACACACATATTCATGGCCCATCCTGATTTAGTGAGTCTATTCCAGACTTATTATTGGTTTGTCGGCATAGATTCGACGTACAAAACCAACAGGTATTTTAAATTTATAGATATGTTATTAGTATTAATTTAAATTTGTATTTTGGATTAGATTTAATGTGATTATAATATATTTCTTTTGGTCTCATTTTCACAGGTACAAGATGCCGTTGGTCGAGATGATTGGCATGACGCCGTGCAACAATAACTTTCTAATTGCGTATGCCCTCATGAAGGACGAGAAAGAGGCCAGTTATGATTGGGTTCTCGACAAGTTGAGACTTCTCATAGGCTATACGGTAAGAATTTATATGAAGTACATGATTAATTTAATTAGTACATAAGCGTACTTTGTGCAATATGGTAAAAAAATTTGAAGTTTTTTTTGCGTGTCTCACTAATTTTTGACGCTGCTCAGGTGCATCCTAATGTGGTTGTCAGTGACAGAGAGTTGGGCTTATTGACTCCTATTAGGAGGCATTTTCCCCAATCTGCCCACTTACTCTGCACGTGGCACATCAACAAGGATGTGGAAAACAAAGTGTACAACTTGTTTGGGAAAGATAAAAATTTATCTGAGAGGTTCTTGCGCGGTCGGTGGAAGTCGATTATGGATGCCAGTACGTCGGATGAGTACGACGCTGCCGTAGCTCAATTGAATGCAAAATACGGGAATGATTCAAAAATGGTACAATATCTCGAGCAGACGTGGCTAGGCCACAAGGAGAAGTTTGTGAAAGCCTGGACGAACCAAGTAACACATTTTGGCAACACAACTACCTGTAGGGTGGAAAGTGCCCACTCTGTGTTGAAGTAGTGGCTTCGCACGTCGACTGGCGCGCTAGATACAGTGTGGCATAAGATTGATAAGGAGATCGAGTCTCAATTGACTGAAATCAGGTACATTCCTCAAATATATTATATATAAGTATAATATATTATATTATGTAAGTATATTATATTATAATTTGTTTTGTAATGTATTAACATGACAGCACTTGAGTCTTCGAGACTTAGGAAGAGTACGACATATACGGGATTGACTTTCGCGTGCTTGACATTGAGAGTCTCGCATTACTGTCTTAATTTATTGAACGATGAGCTAACAAAGATGCGAGACTTGAGCCATGAAGTTTACTTGCGCTACGGCTGTGTATTGCCTACCACAGATGGAATTCCTTGTGCATGTACGCTTCGTACAGCACATGATTCTAAAATGGCGATTGGTATTGACATGATCCACGAGTTCTGGAAGACACTAGAGATGTTAGAACAAGGTCATTTGTGGTTAATGTTTATTTATAATTCTCTACTTTCTAATTCATTTTAAATTACACATTAAAGTATATTACTTTGAAAAAAAAAAACAAGGTGCAGGCAGGTCACACGACTCGTGTGCCTAGTGACACGGGTCGTGTGACAGTCACACGACTCGTGTCACATGGTCACACGAGTCGTGTGCCTACTGAGGAGAATGGATAAAAAGCCACGGGGTTTTCACACGACTCGTGTGCCCAGTGACACGGGTCGTGTGAGCTCACACGACTCGTGTCACATGTTCACACGAGTCGTGTGACTAGTGACTCTTTGAAAATCTGGTTAATGTTTATTTATAATTTTCTACTTTCTGATTCATTTTAAATTACACATTAAAGTATATTACTTTGTTAATTGTTTCAATTTTTGGATCGTATACTTTTAGGGACAAATCCTCAGAGCCAGCATAATTAGGGTGCCTGGACAGATGTTGAGTTTTTTCGGACGCTTGCCAAAGAGGTTGAAGCGAGCGCTCATGCGACGATGCGGTACTGCAATAACCTCATTTACGGTCAGCTTTACCCGAACCAACAAGCATATGGACAACCGGAGGTTAAGGAAAATACGCGAGGTCGTCCCAAAAAAACTGATTCTACTAAGCGTGAAGCATCGCGATGGGAGTATAGGGATAATTCGCAAGGTCGTACAAGCAATTCTTCGCGTGGACGCACTTCTTCGCGTGGACGCACATCTTCGCGTGGACGCACATCTTCGCGTGGACGCACTTCTTCGCGTGGACGCACTTCTTCGTGTGGACCGAGAACCAGCCAATCTTCTGAACCGTTACAAGAGGCACACCAAGGTGACATTTATTTTTTATAAAGTTGAAAGTTAATTAAAATGTTAATTTACAAAATCATATTATTTTATTGTGACGTGAAATTATTATGATGTTCCAGCTGGTACCGAGACAGATATATTTAGCTTTAAGTACAGCAGCAGTGTTCCCTGGCATATGTTGGACTACGTAGTGAGCTACTTGAATGTGAAAGCAGATGGGAACTGCGGATGGCGGGTCATCGCGAGTTACATTTACGGGGACCAAGAGATGTGGCAACTCGTACGAGAGAATGTTGCCAATGAGATTTACAGCCATCGTGCCTTGTACGAGTACATCTATTACAGGGATATCGACACGGCACTCGCTCGGATAAGGTGGGACGGGGGCGCTTTTTATTTTTATTATTATTATTTTGCTAATATTTATATTTTATATTTATTTTTCTTTTATATTATAATTATTATTATTCAAATGCTAATATTTTAATTTTATAAGGTGGGACGGGGGCGCTTGTGGCACGAATCACTGGAT